ACACACACACACACACACACACACACACACATTCTGGCATGCACCCTTAAAGTTGGCTACTGCGTGCCAGAAACTGACAAATGATTACTGTTGCGACTTCGAATGGCACGCAGTAGCCAACTTGGGAACAGATACGCAGACACACGCACAGACCATTCATACACACACATCCATAGACATATACACAAAGACACACAAACATCCACATAGGTTCATACATAGACGCCCCACACACACACACACACACACACACACACACACACACACATGCCGATGACGTCATTGTATGTTTCCGCTAGCAGAGAGAAGAGGACGAAAGACAAACCGTACGCATCATGTCAATGTMAGTAGCACARGTGGAGGCTGCTCTTGCAAAGGTAATGAAGTATGCAAAGGAGGGCGTCCACTACAACGGTGACAGCGAGTTGTCTTTGCTTCAGGACAGGGTGCCGAGGTACTTCATAGTCGTTGTGGATATGAGATCCACAATCATGGCAAACGGCGAGGGTTGTGTCAAAGCACGAACACTCTTGCAACGCTTCAGAGAGTCACCACCTGACGGGTCTGCTTGGGCTAAGCGGGGTGATGAATCGGTGTTGGTGCACGGCGACGGACTGCTCACATCGGAGATGACGTGGAAAGAGAGAGAGAGAGGGAGAGGAGACGGATCGGGATGGTCTCTTTTCCTTTTGTTTCTTCTTCTTTCAACCTTCCTGTATAAATTTTGGATTTCCACCTTGGCCAGTTTTGTTGCAGCAAATTCGGATTTTCCTTATGGATTATCTTGAATTTTGGTGTGCGCCATCATTTATTCTCGACTCTATTAGATCTTGCATGTTTGACAGTCCGATGAATGTTTGTACTTCCTCACTCTCTGTTTGCGGCGTAATTGCCATTCTCAATTTCTTGCAAGATCGGTGGTTTCTGTTTGTATGTATGTTGTCTTTCCTTTCGGCCTAAGATATGCACGCTTGTCGAATCCTCACCCTCGCTAAACATGAATGAGTCTGATGAGAATTTTTTTGTCTTAATGAATGCGAGGGTGAGAACTTGGGATTGCGAGTCGTTCCTGCGGATCCTTCGGATTCGTGCGTAATGGTAGAGCAGATATGTTTACGAGGGAGTCGTGATTGTACAGACCCGTGATTGGTTGTTCGCGACTGACTGTTCGGGAGGGACTGAGGGGTCACGCACGGATAAGACATGCGCTTCAGGAAAGGGGGGGGGCAATGATGATGGGTACTAGAAAGTGACGAAATTTGAATTAAGCTAACCCGGATCGTATCTTCTGATTGACCATCGCCTACGCCCACTCCTGCTAATGCGGAGCCAACCCCTCACATAGCCGTAAGCAGATCCTGTGCACGCACGTGTAAACCCGACCGAAAGGGACGGTGCCTACACGCGTGTCTGCAAGATCTGTGCGCGGACCATGGCGGCGTTTACGTCGGATTGACATGATGTTTCGCATCATGGACCGAGAAAGTTTGCGGGACCCCGAATATCGGAAATATTGGGAACGAAAGAACGCGTACTTCCTCGCTCAGTCCCGCCCCGATCCTTCGAGATTCCCTTACCAACGAGGAGACGAACGTGTGTGTGATTGGGATATAGGAAGGGCATTGGACGTTGTTCCTTACGCAGCCCAATTCCCCGAGTCCCACACGAGCCACGTCTTCTCCGAACCAGGGGTCGTCGTCCTAATAACTCACTGCCCACCGTACCGAGTGGTGCTGCCCTTCCACTACCTCACCGTTATCCCGTGGCACGCTATCGCTCCCTACTGGCCTTGAACCCCTTGTTCTGAGTGCCAACGAGACAGCAAGTACCAAGCCTCGGGGTTCGTCCACCGAACCCGAACGGAGTCTGAATGGCGGGCTTTCAACCTCCGACTGAGACCTTCGTCGTCTGATTCCGAAGTTTGCAGCGATCGATGATAGCAGCCGATCAGACAACGCGATACCCATAGCGTGCACCATGTCCATCACGTTCGCGACCGACCACAAAGGCGAAACCAGAGGAGATGGTGATTCCCATCTCTCGGGCCTAAGACATATGAAACATGCTTGAGATCAACGACAGGGGCAATGTTGTGGGCGATTCTGTTCGAAGAATGCAAGAGTGTCTAGATCTGTTAACGACGTTATTACGTCGGGACTTTTATCCTTGGGATACACTGCGCATGCCATCTGCCTTATGCTGCACGACATCTGCAACTTTCATTTCTTTACACAGCCTGAGGGGCGGTCTATCTGCTCATAAAACCTGAAACGCCGCGCACGGCCCGCACTTGCCCTCTTGCACTTTTACCCCCGAAACTTGCCTCAGGAGATCTCAGTTCTGTCCTGGGACCCCCCCCCCCCCCCCCCCCCCCCTTTCCTAAAATCCTTGGCACCCCCTCTTTTTTGCACTTTCGGGCCCCCATCGCACTCCGATCAGGAAGTTGCGCTGGGTGTGAGGTTAGGCGTCACAACATTGTTGAAGATTTCAGTTAAAAACGGAGCAAAGGCCTCCCAGACACTTAAAAACAATTCCACAGGGAGTCCATCAATACCTGGGCACTTCCCCTTAACCATCCGTTTAGTTGCACCATATAGCTCATGTCTAGAAAATGGGGCATCTAAAAAATCTCTCCCTTCTGGCGGAATCCTCGATCTCACTCCATCCCAAAATCGTGAGAGTTGCGAAAGATCAGATTCTGCGGTGTCAAACGGACTCCTTGTGGCCACTATATCCTGGAAGTAGGCTTTGGCATAAGAGCACATGACCCCAACGGTGTTTGTCACAGGTTCGTTGATAGCAAAGGGGTGGATTAACTCTCTCAACATCGGCTTAGCACGTCTGAGAATCAGGGACCTGAACGTTAACTTAGTCATTTTGTCATAGCCCCCCCCCCCCCCCTGATTTTCAACCAGTCCAACCATTCTTGGTGTTTGCCAGCCTCTATTTGTTCCAATTTAATTAAGTTTAATTTCCGCTGTTCAGACCAATAGGATTCAGTAAACGGATCTCCCCCCATTTTGGCTTCTGCCTCCCATCTTGGATCCGTTTTTCTTCCCAGTTCCAATTTGTTGCCCTCATCCTGGAGAATGTTTTCAATGCTGCTGAAATAATCCCCAGCCCCACTTCTGCCCAACTCTCCTCTTGAGCAAACAGATCCTTGGCACCCATCCATGCCACCATTTGCTTCCCCACCCATTCCGGAATACCTTTCTCTTTCAAATGGTTGACATTCAACCTGAAAGGGGGTTTGACCCCCTCTAGCTGGTTTGCCGCAATTATATCCATTCCTAGTGGGGCATGATCAGACATAGATTTTACCATGGTGTCGCACCACATGCATCTATCCCATAATGACCCCCTAGCCAGGTAGAAGTTCAACCTTCTCTTGGGGGAGAGGGCAGTATTTTAGCGTCATGGGCCAAACCAAGTACATCCGTTTGAGTCCGGGTTAAGAACCCATAGACGTCAGACACGCTCTGTGCGTCCATAAGGGCCGTCAGGAGCATCGTGTCTTCTGTGATCGGAGTTGGGTTGGCTGAATCTAAGCCAGGATTCAGAACAGTGTTCCAATCCCCGACTAAGATAATGTTTTCCACGTTCGGGATCTAGGATGGTAAGGAAGCGAAAAAACTAGCATCGTGTCTTATGTGATCGGAGTTGGGTTGGGTGAATCTAAGCCAGGATTCAGAACATTGTTCCAATCCCCGACTAAGATAATGTTTTCCACCTTCGGGATCCGGGATGGTAAGGAAGCGAAAAACCTAATCCTTTCTTTATATTCCACTGGGCATAAACTAACATTACAGCCCAGTCTTCCTCCTCCACTGCTATCTTTATCCAACACACTCTTCCTCTAGGATCA